CCCCCCCCCCCCCCCCCCCCCGCGCCAATAATATCTTAGTAGTGCCTGTTTTTCCTTCCTTACTGGGTTTCTATGAACAATGAAATTGCTCAGGTAAACAACTTTGTCTTGATCTTTCTCTCTCCTATCGATAGAGGCTTCCAAGAGTATGATACTCTTGGAAACTATGCACTAAGTTGCCCAGCAACTCATATTCTTGGAGTTCTAGAGTCATTTGAAGCTGGAAAAAATCTTAGAGATGAAAATTATTTAATTATTTAAATGAATTTCTTTAAATCCAACAACAATTGTTGCTGGCCAATAGCATGTATTTAAGGAGATGAAAAGACAACTACACAAATAGTGTAGTATAATGGGAAATTACTCATGATCAAAGGATTGTGCATATTTAGGGAAAAGAAATTATAGGCAATTAATTAATGGTCTCAGAAAAGACTTAAATCTTTCAAGGGTTTTGTGAAGATTAGAAATACTATATACAAATCATCTAGTATAGTGTTTAGTACTTAGTATAGCTATGAATAAAAAGCAACTGGTCTTATTATTGAGATGGTGTTATTTAATATGGGCTTCGGTAAATGGAATTTATGTAGATAGAAATAGAGGATGAGGAAAGGTTTTGAAATGTGGGGTAGGGAGATGACAGAGGCACAGGATGAGAGAGTGGGGAATATTCAGCAAATGTTAATAAATCATTCAGCTTGGCTGGTGTGAAGAATAAATGTGGGAAAGTAGTAACAAATCAGGCTAGAAAAGTGAGGTAGTTCATGTGATAAAAGGCCTTGCCTGACGTAATGGGCACAGTGACATAATTCTTTGCTTAAGAAAGAGATACTTTGGGAGCTGTGTATAAATGCACAGAAATGAGAAATACTGAGACATGTATTTATGAAAAGCTGTTAAATTTTTCCAGATGAGAGAGACCATTCCAGGACAGTGATGAAGGTGGTAAAAACAAAAAACAAAGGACAGATAATATAGACGTCAACACTGTAGAACACAGCAACCTACTGGATCTAAAAGAAGAAATAAAAAGTGTTCAAAAGCAGAGTGTTTTCAAGCTTGTAGGACTGATAGGATGGTGAGCTGTGACAGGGAAGTCAGTAGCACAGTGTGCTTTATTTTAGGGTGAGGAGGGGAAGATAGGCACTGAGTCTGGATTTAAGTCTGTTATGATACCCAGGCAGGACTACTCAACAGGCAGCCCTGTGTTCTTTCCCCACAACGCCTCCCTTTCCACTGCTGATGTTCACACAGCTCCTCAAATAGTGTCCACCTTCAGTTGTTATGTTAGAGGAAGCTGCAGCACAGCTTTGCTTTATTTTTTCATTTTTGTTTCTCTTGTGCCTCTAAATAAATCTCTTGGAATACTTCTGTTCTATTAGTTGTGCCTGGGCCCTGAATTTTCCTTGGTCATTCCACAAAAACACTGTATGTGGGAAAAAGGAAGGAAGGGGTTGGCATCCTCCTCAGAACAGGCTCCAATGCTGGCTCACTCCGTAGACCCTTCGTTACCCTCCCAGATCTCTTCATAAGTGTAGAAATACCTCCAGGAAGTGGCTTTTATGGGGAGTTCTTTCTTCCCTTAGAGACACACATTCATTTTTCAATCTCTGCAGTTTTATGTCACATGATTTCAAAATATGAAATAGCCCTTTTGATCCAAAGAGAAAAAATTTCAAGTTACCCCAGTTGGATCCTTTCTCTCTATCCATCTGATATGCCTTTGGCCAGTTGGAGTTCAGTTCCACTGTTGGCTTTGTTTACCTCTGACTTTCATCTTTTGCCAGGAATGGTGTCCTGTTAGAAACTTTAGACTCTGCTATAGACTTAATATTTATGTCTCCACAAAATTCATATGTTGAAATCCTAATCCCTAATGTGATGGTATTAGGAGGTACAGCCTTTGGGAGAGCTCTACCCTCATGAAAGGTATAATGTCCTTATAAAAAAGACCCCAGCTATATAAGGATACAGAGAGATGATGGTGTCTATGAACCAGGGTCCTCATCAGACACAGAATCTGCTGGCACCTTTATCTCGGTCTTTCCAGGTTCTAGAATTGTGAGAAATAGATGTCTGCTGTTTAAGTCACCCAGTGTACAGTAGTTTGTTATAGCAGTCTGAACTAAGAGACTACATGCCCACCTTCTTTCCTTTAGTACTTGGCCAAAGCTCTGACATTATTGACTATTTGTTTTTCTTTTTTTTTTGAGTTGGAGCCTCACTCTGTCACCTAGGCTAGAGTGCAGTGGCACGCTCACAGCTACGGCAGCCTTGACTTGCTGGGCTCAGGTGATCCTTCCACCTCAGCCTTCCAAGTAGCTGGAATCACAGGCCTGCCCCCCACATCCGGCTAATTTTTTAAAAATTTTTTTATTTTTGAGTTGGAATCTCACTCTGTCGCCCAGACTGGAGTACAGTGGCAGCTCCCGGCCACCGCAGCCTCGACCTGCTGGGCTCCAGCGATCCTTCCACCTCAGCCTTCAAGTAGCTAGAACTACAGGCGCACGCTACCATGCCCAGCTAATTTTTTTTTAAATTTATTGTAGAGATGAGGTCTAGCCAAGTTGCCCAGACTGGTCTTGAGCCCATAGACTCAGGCAGTCATCTTGCCTCAGCCTCCCAAAGTGCTGGGATTATAGGTGTGTGCCACCCCACCCTGCACATTGTTGACTATTAAATCTACAGTATTGATGCCTGATGAATTGATATGATAAAATATAAATGGGTACCAGGCATATGGCTCACACCTGTAATCCCAGCACTTTGGGAGGCAGAGGCTAGAGGATTACCTGAGCCCAGGGGTTTGAGACCAGCCTGGGCAACATGGCCAGACCTGTCTCTACAATAAACCAAAAAATTAGCTGGGCGTGGTGGTGCATACCTGTAGTTCCAGCTACTTGGAAGGCTGAGGCAGAAGGATCACCTGAGTCCAGCAGGTTGAGTATGTGGTGGCTATGAGCATGCCACTGCACTCCAGCCTAGGTGACAGAGTGAAACTCCAACTCAAAAAAAGACAAACAAAAAACTCATCATCTGGATTCTAGGTATAATGTGCCTGACATTCAAGGTGTGCTTTAGTTCTAGATCCTCCTTTCTCTCCTTACATAGTGATAAAGAAGCTCAGTGTGAAAATTGACCTCTTTCAAGCCTTTCACAATGAAATAGAATCATACAACCTCCAGACTTGAACAACCCCAAGTGCCAGGGCTTGTGTGAAGTTCTCTCTCCTAAAGAGAACTCACTCAGCCACTTCAGAAGGGTTTTATGACCAAGGATCATGGCTAATATAAACACATACATGACCTATCTCATTCCCTGTTCATTTCCCAAAACTGATTAGCAGCAAATTTGGGGGAAGGAAAAGGATCTGTATTTTTGCCTTCAAGGAAATGAAATGGGAAAGAAGGGAGCAGGGGGGACTCTTTCATTCTATAGCAAGGCTGCTTTGGCTGAGACTGAGGGGAGGACCCCTCAGAGGCATCCACCATAAGAGAAGTGGCAGGTGGGTTGCCAGGCACAGTGGCAAAGGAAGAAGACCTCAGGAATCTGCTGGGCCTCAGAGGCGTTATGCCCTTTTAGGGTCTTATGACATTCTCAAGAAGGCTTCTATTATTTCTCTTTAGAACTTGAAACTACAATAATAGTGGCCACCATTTAGTGAGCACTTCCTATGATTTGGCTCTACACAGAGCACTCAACCCTATAATGTAAAGATGACCATCCAGATTCACAGATGAAACTTAAAGAGGTAGTTAGTTAACTTGCCCAAGGTCACACAGCTAGGAAGAGATCAGGCTTGCTGCAGGCCTGACTCACTTCAAAGCTCATGCTCTGACACTCATGTTATGCTGCCTGTGCCCTGTTTTTTTTTGTTTTGTTTTGAGTTGGAGTCTCACTCTGTTGCCCAGGCTAGAGTGCAGTGGCACGTTCACAGCCACCATAACCTCAACCTGCTGGACTCAGGTGATCCTTCTGCCTCAGCCTTCCAAGTAGCTGGAACTACAGGTGCGTGCCACCATGGCTGGCTAATTTTTTGATTTATTGTAGAGATGAGGTCTCGCCAAGTTGCTCAGGCTGGTCTTGATCCCAGGAGCTCAGGCAGTCCTCTCACCTTGGCCTCCCAAAGTGTTGGGATTATAGGCATGAGCCACCGTGCCCAGCCGTGCCCTATTTTATGCAGCCTCTATGGTGTCTGGTTCTCCCATTAGCCTGTAAGTTCCTTGATATTAAGTACCAGTCACCACTGCCTTCCCGTAGCATTCAGCCCAGGATCTCACACACTTGAAGTGTTCATTGATATTTGTTAAATTGATTTGACTCTAACCTATGCACTTATTTCACCAATGAGCAAGCTGAGAGGCCCAGGGTAAAAGAGTTGGCCCAAGGTCCTACAACTCAAATAATGACAGAAATAACCCGTATAATAACCCATCCTCCCTGAATCTCTATAAAGCAGCTATAGAGCAGTGGAAAATCTACCAGTTTGCACTGTTCTAAGCTCAGCTTGTAGGAAGGAACTTTGGCTTCTTCCCCTAATCACTTTTGACTGGACACACAAATGGTCAAATGAAACCAGTGCCCTACACTCCAGGCAAAACTATACCTAAGCATTCAGTAATAAATGTAAAGAATCAGTTATGAAAGTTGCTGATTTAAGCCACTAGAGGGAATCAAAGGCTCAGATTTTGTTGATGTCCCAAAAGGACTGGAACATAGTGGTGGGTGGTGTGCTTTGACAAAGCGCCAAGTTCTATTTATACCATATTCAGAATTAAATA